TTAGTTTCCATGATTGACAAGGGCCTGTCTTCTTCTCTTGCTCTAGGTTGGTTTAATTATTGGAAAAGGTGGGGAAACTATCAAGAGCCTTCAGACAAGATCAGGGGCACGAATTCAGGTACTGATAACCCTATGATTTCTGTTGGCACCTATTTTGTGCAAAGTAGTTTTACTATTAGAGGCAATCAATTCACTTGGTTAAATTATCAAAATTAATGTTCTACTATTTCCGTAGCTGGTTCCACTTCCTTCTGATGGAAAAGAATCTAAAGAAAGAACAGTGCGAGTGACTGGTGATAAAAAGCAAATTGATATGGCAAGAGAGATGATCAAAGAAGTCATGAGTCAGGTTTGTTTGGATGTTCTGCCTTATTCTTTAAGTGCGCTTGTGTGAGGTCCATTTAGGTGTATTCAATGCAGTTTAATATTTCAGATCAGTATTTCTGATATAAGCGTATTTCATTTCATCTATGTTAATGGCCATTTCTTGAACACTTTTTCTATAAGTAACTGTTTCTTGAATACGCATAATTGATACTGTGACATGCTTACAATCGGGTTTGAGCCTGGAATTTTGGACAGAAATATATGTTATAGGAACTATCAGAAATTTCAGATGCAAATCTCGTACTTAAGTAACATAAAGCAATGTGTTCTTTATATAACTTAGTATATTTTGAGCCCCTATGGCTTTACTTTAGTGGCAAGAGCGCAGTGCATGACGTGTGAGTTAGGCATATGTCACAAGCTCAAACTCTGATACGGGAAAAAGCCTAATGATTAAGTTGAGAAGGGTAGATGATGGGCGGCTGCCCTGAGTTTACTCAGTTATCAAAAAATAACTCAGTATAATTTGTTGATGTGCAACATCTGTTGAATTTGATGTATGTGTCATGGACAATCGTGTAGAATGCAATTATGCCTTCCGTTTTCTGTTTAGCAGTTGATTTATTCTTGTATAAAATGACAATTTACAAGTGCAATTAGAAGTTACATGTTAAAGAATAAACGTATTTAGCTGATCTTCTGAAGTAATAGTATGGCTCTTACCAGTAGGAGGGCACCAACGAGTTTTTGGAACATTTGCATGTTTCTTAGTGTCACTAAGGGGGCATAAAGTTCTCTGCTTACAAGGGGTCAGTGTGAAAACTCTCTTAATGGTTTTACTCGAGGCACTTGTTTAGGTAGAATATGGTGCTGTACTACTGCCTTGCTATTCATTGTTTACAAGCTCCAGTTGGTGACTTTGCTAGATCTGAACTGCTGAAGGAATGTATTAATGTACTCTTAGGATTAAATTAATTGCCTATCTTGTAGTGGTTACTCTGTTATGTGTGGTGAGTAGGCGTTTTGCATGAGATGAAGAAAAATGTCACATGTTGGGAGCTTGTTTCTTAGTGAACGTTCATAAAAGTTTGTGTGCCGGGTCAATTGAATACAGTTAAAGAGAATGTTGTGTTGAAATGGGATGTCGGTTGCCGTGATTTATATTTGTCAATGGGTGCCAATTTCGAATTGGTTGGCTTTAAAAATGCAGATTTGGATTTTGTCTTTGACATCGCAGCATTGCGTTGGTGTAGCCATAGACAACTACTATTCACTCTCGACCACCGAAGAGAGGTATCAAGCATTAACCCTCGCCATTGCAGATGTTAATAGTTGGTAAGATTGCTTCGAGACTTAAAAACTAAAAATGATAATAATAGTAAGGTTATTATATTAGAAGAGTACTCTCTGGATACCCTATGCTCTATGCAAGCCACCATGTTGCAGAATGCCATCACTAGTTAAATCATCTTTATTGAGTGTACTATATCCATGATGAAATCTGATCTCATTTTATCTTAAACATAGGAGAACTGAATAGTCGGCCTTTTGACTTGCATTAACACGTGGTGTTTGGAAGTAGTGTGACTACCATGGTATTACACAATTGAATGCAATAAAAAAGATGTTCTTTTATTCAAGACTGGATATTGTTCTGCCTCTTGGATACTATGTGCATGTGATTTTTGAAGATGCTTGATATGTATGTACTAAATGTCAGATGATGGTTTGTTTAGATATCTGAAATAGTATCAAGAAACATCAATCTCTTTTCCTTGATAGTAGTGTTATGGGCTACTCATCTGATCCCATTTTGGCAGTTGTGTTTGATATTTTCTTGAAGCGTCATTAGATTGCTATTTCTGCTTTTATTCTTTACATTTTCATCAATGCTCTTGCTATCTACTATTCACGTTTTATTATAACTCAATGCAAGTACAATCTATGGATCTGTGTATAAGTGTTTTCTTGCAGTTGTCACCCTGCTACAGTTCAAGCATCTACAAATTTCATTTACTTCGTTTCCTGGAAGCTATTCCTGAGCTTTTCTTATATTTATGCTTATATTTTCTGTTTAAATCTGCAATCATGTGGCTAACTTCTCTAGATGTCTTTCTTTTTCACAATGGTGTGATAGCCTGTAAGGCCATCAACTCAATCTTCGGGTTATGGTCAGCAGGCATTTCGCCCACGTGGCGGAGCTGCTCCCCCACAATGGGGACCCCGAGGTGGTCATCCTGGGCAGTTTCCAGGTTATGATTACCATCAAAGAGGACAATATTCATCTCGCAGCCCACAATACCCACCTCCTGCCTATGGAAATTATCCTCCACAGCAAGCACCAAGAGGCGGATTTGGTCAGGGTTGGGAGCAAAGGCCTCCAGCCTCTATGCAGGGCCCTCAGTCACAGGTTGGTGTTTATAATTATTAATTGCACTATATAGCCAATGCCTCAGCATTTGCTTCACTCTTTAAAATTATTACTCATGCTTTCTGGTCCTTTAACGGGTCTGCCTTCTCAGGCAAACTACAACTATGGGCAGGCACATGGTCCAGATTATGGCCAGTCATACCCTCATCACCAAGCACAGCATGGACAAGGCTATGGGCATGGATACACTGATGTAAAATATGATCACCAAATGGCACCACAGAATCAGTATGGAGGACATGGAACTTCTCAGCCGACATCTTACCCTCAAAGTGGTGCACATCCCAGCTATGGCACACAAGAACAATACGGTAAACCTCCTTCATATGGTATGCATCCACAGGCTTCCCATTCGCAACCTTACAGCCATCCCAGGGCTAATCAACCTGGAGAAGTGCCATATCAGCAGGGTCCAGCTCCATCAACTCAAGGATATGGTGCTAGTATGCCGCAGCAGCAGCAGCAATTCCCCTATGCATCCAGTGGGCAAATGCAACAAACTTACCCTGCATATGGATCCACCGCTACCGCCGATGGATACAATCACCCACAAGCTGCTCCAGCTTGTGGTCCTGGGTATCCTCAGCAGAGTGCCCAGCCTGTTCCTGGATATGGTCAGCCTGTACCACAACAACCTCCTGCTTATGCCCAAGCAGCCCCTGCTGGAGGTTACAGTTCCTACCCTTCACAGCCCGCTTACACTGAACAGCAGGCAACAAATAGTGCAGGCTATGGTTATCAGGCACCAGTTGACCAAACTTACAGTGGTGCTCAGGCTTCAACTACTTATAGCGCACCATATACTGGACAACAAGCCTATGCTCAACCAGCTCCAGTTCCTGCTGCAGCCCCGGCTCAGCCTGGTTATGATCAATCCATGGCTCAATCAGGTGGTTATGCAACTGTACCTGCTGCTGCTGGTTACGTGAAGAGTGTCTCGCCCCAGCCTGGTTATGCACAGTATGATGCTAATCAGATGTATGGTGCCCCAAGGTGAACTTGTTATCTGATGAAATTGTTTCAGGGAATGTGTTCCGGTGTTCTTGTTCACAACTAGGCTGTTAGTTCGTATTAGTTTGAATTTCAGATCATTTTCATTGCACATGGAATATTTTATTAGTGCAATGTGTACTTTGTTTTTGCTTTGTCAGCATCATACGCGCCTAATCATAAATGCTAAGAATTTATGGGAAGTCTGTATTTTCTGCTTTACAAATTTTTTGTAGGCATATGGAACTCTTGTGCTAGTTGTAGAAATGTATTTTCAAAGTCTTGCGCTGGTAGATTTTCAAATCTGTTGTTGACAATTTCAGCTTAATGAGTGACGAAGATGAGAGATATTAGCAGGTGATGATCGATGCTCAATGCTTCATCTATAGCTATTTTTGTGCAAATATCAAACATAAAATTTAAGCTATTTTTGTAGTTATCTTTAAGGAATAGGGTGAGAATGACCGTTGATTTCCTCCCCCGAGTGCAATTTCACCTTATGATTGTGTTTACAAAATTGGGTCCTTGAAAAGTGTTTATATTGGTTGAAAATGAGTATTTGAAAGTTATATATGCAGTGTACCTTTTTCAAGTCTAGCGTGCCATTATTTTTCTAAAAGCAGTTTAATTCTGTCTTATAGGGAAATAGGCAAAACGTGAGATTAAGTTGTATTTGTAATTACGATAACTTTGTAGTCTAATACCATGTTAATTTACCCCCAGAAAAAAAGGAAATATAGTAGAAGGAAGAAAACTGGTTTGATGTGTACTAAACTAGCATGGCACTGCAGATTTGAGGTTGAACGATCTTCGGCGGCACTCGCAAGAAGTTGTGCGAATTCATTAAGTTCTAGTGACGCTAAAATTTTAGCGATTCCAAATTGTAACTTTCTCAAATGACATTAATCATGTCAACACTCCCCATTCTTTGTTGAAATAGGTTAAGTGTTTACTAATGATTGTTATTAACCAAATCTAGAATGTTGGAATGAAGAGCATGGGAGGTAACTAGTCATAAGAAGAGTGGAAGCGAGCGCAATCAAAATCAAGGCGGGAGACATTTCCATCATCCCTTAAGAAGTGTTGTGGTCGAGTATACACTGCTACCAAATTTTTACGACAATGGAGAATCCTCAATACATAACGGTCTTCGTTTGTTCGGTTAATTTTTGTATGTCTTGTTCCTGTTTTTGTAGAATATATATGCACTTCAAAAGAACTAGCGGTTTGATTCTCACTCTTAGCCTCATTCTTTTCGCTCTTAAAAACACTAGATTTATATACTATTCCAAGTTTTGAAATGTTAGTGAAGGTATATTGTAGTGTCACAAAAGCTTCATCTACATCTACATCTACATCTACATGCATAGGCCAGACAACCAACCAAACATCCTGCAAGCTGGTACAATTATCTTTTGAGAGTGATGAAAAGGGCAAGAGTAGGAAGAGAGTATGCTGATAAAAATATTTTTGGAGTAGAGAACTAAATGCACGAGACATTCTCAAATTCCAAAGAGATTCCAAGAATGTATTTTGTGTTGACAATGAAGCTTTCACTGGACGTTCCATGATTTCTTATGACATTAACAATCTTCATCCACAAGAATAGTTGATTCATTGCCAACTCCAAAGTCAATTAATGATGCCATATCATCATCAAGCAGAGTTGGGAATGGGGAACCCTGGGAAGTCCAAAAAGAAGATTCTAAACATAAAATTCTCAAAATCTTAAACACTGATAAATCATGCAGTGACTATAAGCAAAATATAGAGAAGATTGGTTGTGGAAATTTACGATTATCTGTTAAAGTAATTATTGTACATCTCATGACAACAGTGACTAATGTGACCATTTTATTAGCATACGTACCTCTTCCCGAAGAAATAACTTTGGCTTAATAGATTTTATCTTGAAGAAACTCTCACAAAGGATTTTCAGCTTGCCCACCTGAATGGAGCAGAGATAAGTAGAAAGCTTTAAACCAGTCTAGTAAAGGAAAAAGATCATACCGTAGTTGTCGCAGGCAGCTTTTTAGTCAATGGGGCCTTTTCACCAATTGATGCTGCAACACACTTCAGAGTAATAGCTGCAGAAGGCGAGCATGAGCGGTAAGATCATTTTCATGGATCCGATTAGGATCTAAATTTGGCAAAGTTTAGAGTTGACAGTCAATACAAATGAGCCCTGATGCCATTTTTTGTGGACCCGTAGCTCCACTTGCAGCCTTTTGATCCTCAATCCCGTGAAAAGATTTCAGCTCTGCAAATCTGCACCAATTAACACATACTTAAGAGTGCTAGATAGGGCTCCTACTTAATACTCTGAGTTGCTTGAGAAACAGAAGGTCACTAAAGTAAATGTAGTATTCAAATATATGCGAGTAAATAGAAAATAGAGAATAGGTTGAGGTATTTATTTCCAATGTAGGTACTGCAAATTTTTCAAAACATCCTCTAAACAATCAGTACCAACGACACAAGCTAACATTTGCCCAAGCCAAAGACAAAATATACCAAATATTGGCTTATATACTAGCCTCATCAAAAATATTTTGAAGATATATGTTACGTACTAAATAAAATAAATACCTGGGGTGAAGCTTCTTAATTTCCTCTGCATTATCATGGCTTTTAGACATGACCAATCTGACATACCTGCAGAAGGATTTGAAAATCTATTTATCTGAACAATGACTGGACTAGAATCAAGTAAAGTGCCTCAAGTTAGTGTATTTTTCGAAGAATCAATCAGCAACAACATAAACAACACTAGCCTCATCCAGCAATGCTTTGCAAATGGAAAAGGAAAAACAAAAGTTAACAACATCACAATAACCAACAAATAATATGCCTCAAGAGTTGCGGAGTTTAAACAAAACACATAAATATACTGCCTTGGATGAGGCAATTGCTTTAACTTTCAACTATCTCATCAGACGGTCCAATGTATAACAGCTACCTAGACTTCTCAAAGAACAGCTGATGCAGGTTTAAGAGACATAGAGAATAAGAACTTTCATTTAGTTTTTGGCTTACTGTTTAGAAGTTTTCGTAATTCTCTTCAGTAAATATCTCAACACATTTTCGGTATATTTTGAGGACTCAGCAATATATTTCCCCTACGCCCCTCCGATAAAAAAGGGAACAAAAAAGGACAGAAAAAGAAAGAGGAACTAAAATAGGTGATTAAATTTACAAGTACAGGTGCCACCTTTCCACTAATGATTTAACAAAAATTTAGTTAAAGCATGGTTCTCAACAATAAACCAGCTACATAATGGATTTAAGATTATTCATCAAACGATAGAAGTGAAGCTAAAGAAGATGATCTGAAACTAAGTTTAAGATAAGAAAACAGCCAGCGAGAAAGGTAACTAATTGAAGTAAGATTTTTAGAGGCATAGGTAAATAATAATATGATCTAGATGTAATCACTCTTGAGTTCATTGGGACATGCTACATCAGAAAGAGAGAAAATACCGAATTTCAGAATCCTTCCTCTCTCGAGGACTAACCTGAAAGAAAAAGAAGGCATGAAAAACTTGAGCAACTTCAAATGCTTGCAAAAATGAATCAGTAGAATATGAAGAATTTACCTGGCTTCCGTTTAAAGTTTCAACTTTAGCAAGGCGAGCAATCAAAACAAACCGGGGCACACCACCTTTCCCTGGATCTGCTATAGGATTCTCAGAAAGCCTTATATCCTACCAAAAGTTTGACCAAATAACATGAATTTGAAACAAGATTCTGAAGTTTGTAGCGAGTTACATTTTCTAGGTGCTATACTTTTATAGTTAGCAGGCAAGTAATTTTTTGGATTACAGTTAGCAATCCCTTGGTTTTTAATGACATAAGAACTTCGACAACAGAAGGCAATAATGGGACTTCATTTTCTTCCTTACGGGGTGATAAGAATTGTACATACCCACCCCCTTCTGACTATGTCACATTAGTTCTTCCCGTATGTTATATCAAGCAGACCAATGCAAGGTTTTGAGCAGTTAGCGATATTTTTTAGAAATTTCTTCATTTTATTTTTTTGACTATAGTTATGCTGATAAATACACACTCAAGATTCAACCGCATTCTTCAGGAAGAACGTTAAATGTTGGAGAGAGGTGAAAAAAAAGCAACACAAACCATAATGTGGAAACACAGAACCCTTGCTCAAATTAGTGACAAAACGTACAGCTTAAACATCGCTGTAAGCTTAGCATGCACTTAGCTCATTGCGAATTATTGATGGAAAAACTAACTTATTATGACAATCCAAGAACTTTCTCAAATACGATTATACAAAGGTCAGCTACTAATAAAGTAAAATAAAAACCACTCTGGCTTATAGTTCTCACAAACACATAATAGATGCAAAGAGAACGATTTATCCCTCGAGTAAAATGCAAAGTTCTAAATTACAAAAACCATTTGGATACAAAGTGAGATCCAATAACAACCACATTAAGCCCACTTACCATACCAGCAACGTATTCCGGAAGATATTGGAGGATAGAGAAAAGGACACGCATGTAGTGGTTGCATAGTTTCATGATATGCATCTAATGTGTAACACCATAATAGTCAGATCACACATAAGAAGCTCCAACATAAAAATTAGATCCAAACACCATTATTACATCCGTTTTCCAGATAAAAGTTTTTCCTATAATAACAAATCATTATCCAGTTAATTCATGAAAAATTCGTGATCAAATCAAATGGTCTGTACTTTAAGAAAAATCTTACCAACAAATTAGGGAAAAAATTAAGAGAATCAATAGAAGCAAGATCTTCAATTTTGTTCCCACCTGTAAATGTAACAAATAAACTACCAGTTAAATCTCAATTAAATATCCAGGATTAAGGTTAGTTCTGCAGAGAGTTGTAGTATTACCCACAAGAAGGCAACGGAGATTCTGGAAAGGCCTAAAGCTTTCCCCAAGAAGTTCATGACCATTGGGTGTTTCAGATGATGAATTATGATCAGGGTACCAGATACGGCCGATACAGTTGTTATTCAAAAAGAGCTGTTCCAATCTGAATGCAAGACGGCAAACTAAAATCTCAATGAGATGCAACATAAAAATAATGTGTTTGAAGAGGACATTAATTTTGCAGCACCTTTTTAACTGTGACAGCTTCAAGATTTCATCCCAAGCGACTATAAAGTTATTCTCCAAATTGAGAAGACGAAGATAATCAAATCCATGAACAATATCTGAAGATAATGGCTGGAAAAGGAAAAAAAATTTCTAAGAAAAAATTCAGTGAATAATTTATAGATCATATATGACGAGATTCATCCTTGTACTTCATATGGGAAACTCATTTATTACTCTCTTGGTTACAGACGTAATAGTTAGTACAATAACTAATTGTTCTTGATGTCAGTTACTAGGAAATGAAGTGCGATCATTGATGAACACATTACTCAGAGGAGAGAGCTAGTAGGAACTTTCAAACAGTATATATGCCTTTCATCTGAAAGTTTCAAATTTTGCTCTTGTAATTCTGGAACCGATACTTGTCTAGACATGATCTGTTAAATTGGTTTCAACCCGGTTAATGTTCTCCACCCTAATGGGTGAAGGCAGTACCAAATTTCATTGCCCCAGTTTTCATGTGGAAAACAGAACTAGAAAAATACTTGCTATTACCATGCAGAATTTCATAAAAAAAAAAACTAAGTGATCAATGCGAGATATATGGATTTTCCTTTTCAACTTTTGAAGAAATGGCATAAAAAACCTAAACTGGCATTCTATTTCTATTTGGTTTTGTATCCAAAATCATCTTGTGACCATCGCTAAGAGTAGCTCCCCGAAATCCTCTAATGGCCAGCAGTCATCCTCTATCTCGCATATGATCTATTCCCTCGTTGGAAAATGATGATGATCCAGTACAAAAGCAAAAGTAAAGGTTGGAGTCACATCAAAGTATCTGCCAGATAAGATGAATCCCCATGCAAACTCATGGGCTTCAAATCGCAACTTTTTTTTCAATAGTTCCTTTAGTTTTTGTAATAGCTTCTCTAGCATGCTTAAACATAAATCGGTAAAAGTTGAAGGATTTTTACTGCCTACTGAGTATACACTTGTTTGCTTTGTTATGTGACAAGTTTTTCCGGTCTAACAGCTTATTTGGATGGTTGTTACCTATTGTACTGTATTCTATTATTATTTTAAATATGATGTTTGTTTTGGTTGTTACTTAGATTTTATTGTATCGTATCGTTAAATTCGTTGTTCTGTGACGATGAAAAGTGCTACTTTATGTAACGGCCGATTTGGTGTGGTTTTTACCTTATTTTTCTCTCATCTTGCCCTTCCTTATTATTAAATAATCCTAATTTATCCTTCACTCTACCTTTTTATATAATAATTCTACCTTGTACCCTACTTTTTCTTTGTAATATTACAAGTTTATTCTTCATATTACTGGCGTGTAACATCATGAAATGATGGCAAATGATACAATCTATCCAAACATTGTATTCATCAAAACAATACAGTACAGTATAACACCATACAATGCTATACATTATGAAATGATATCTAACAACCATCCAAACAAGATGTAAGAGCGAGAGCACAAAAGATACAAAGAAGATGAAAATTTAATGTCATAACACAGTTATCTATCTTCAGTAAAGAAGAATTAATAGAACTTGTGGATAATAACATAGAAATTTGAGATTCAACTGCAAATAACTCTAATAAGGGAAAACACACCGCTATTTCTCTCAGTTTGTTTCCCATCAGATGAAGCTCTTCAGCAAGAGGGAGAGAGTCTTTAAGCATTTCAACCTGCCAAATGAAATACATCACACTCAATAAATGATTAAGTTACATGGAAGAAGACAGCAATAGGTCCACTCTCACCTGTTTCCAGCTTATACCAGTGTGATTCAAAACTAAAACTTTGATGTGGTTTAGCAGGGGCATCCCACTTATATTGTGAGACATGATGTCGTATGATAAGTTCAGAGTTATGAGAGCCGGTAACTCTTTACAGATTGCAGCAATTTCCTGCGAGGATATGCTTGCTCAGATAAACAGTATTTTTACGCATGGAGAGAGAATGCACTGGTATCACAGTTCTGCATACTACGATGCACAAAAATGAAATAGAGTCATACAATCAATGATATGACTAGACTTTTCGACATCGATTCTCTACATTCTGCAGTCCAACTAGGTATTATGACCAATAAGCTGGACTCAAATGCTTTGTTGAGACTAGGTCAAAGAAGAATTGACCCTATTAGAGTTGAAAATCCAACATATCTAATGAAGTACAATCTGAATCGAAAGGTTTTATGGAAAAGGAAATCAGCATGGACTCAATCCTCCCCTCTCCTTCCATGTTGATATCTAAACTTCCTCCAACCTCCAGTTCACATGACAAATTTTCAGTCTAATGTTTGAGACACTTACAATCCAACAGACCTTTGAAACTATTCAGACTTCAGATGCAACTAACCATTTCAGATTTAAACCACGATCTGATATTCTTTTTTAAGAATGGTAACATATTTCTATGTGTGTGTGTGTGTGTATATATATATATATATATATATATATATATATGTAGACATCAGCACAAAGTTTGCGCCGGAAACCAAAATGTGGGTGTTACATCAAAAAACGGAACATAAAAAAAACATTCCTTGCTCTTCTTACAAGGAACCTAATATCTCTAGAATTGCCTCAGGATCATCTGTGTTCCGACTTACACCACAAACTGAATAGAAGAATACAATTCCCCTTAATTTTTTGTAAAGAACTACTTGTGTCTTCAAAACATCTCGAGTTCACCTTTTTAGCTAGTTCACCTTTTTTACTACTTATCTGATATTCTCCTATTAGCTAGTTCACTTTTTTTACTACTAATCAGAAAAGTTTTGTCTTCTTTGAAAAGTATGTCAGGCAGTCAAATTAACTTCTTAATCCACATCACAAATAAAACTATATCACCACAAAATTGGACACAGTGAAAACCAAAACGTCGCGTAAACAGTCAACAAGTCAGAGAGGATCTGATTACAATCAAACAGAATATGATCTGACTTCATTCAGAGAAGCAATGCATTACCCTCCAGTCAGAAAGCAGGTTTCCAGTCAAATCAAGCTCCTTTAACCCTGCAACAATGGCATGCACAATTCAGGTAACATTTTGCTTCCTGTCTGAAAGCTCACAGGGCTGAATAATGATATAGAAACAACTAACATGTAAGCAAATGCTAGTAGATAAAAAGCAACAACAGTAAAAAAGCAACAACCACAACAGCAAAATAAAAGAACCACCATGAGTCTCAATCTTTAACTAGTTAGGTTGGCTATGAATCCTCAATATCCATTTGCTCCATTTGGACACAATGCACTCCAATACTCAAAAACTTGTCTTTAAGACAAATTAACGGTTCTCTAACACTAGAGTTTCTCGATATTTTATATTGATATACTGATATATCTATATCATATTAAAAGTGGGAAGCCCATAACTAAAAAGTTGAATTACATAAATGCCCTTCTAAATCACTTAAATATCCTATATTATTACTTATTTAATTTAATAATAATGTATTAACATAAATATTTAAAAGTATCAGAAAAGAAAATCAAATATTTGAAAGGTTGTGTTCCTTCTGCTTTGTGATCAGCTTACTTTTGAATTCATTTCAACAGTTGGCTACCTTTCAAATTTACAAAGCCTATTCATTTAATGGCTTTAAACTTGCATCAAATATGTTACACCAACAAATGAATAGTCATTCCCTTAGAAATATTCCGCCAGTTCTTTCTTCGCTAGATATACAAAGAATTATTCATTCTTCTTAACCTTCTACCAATTCTTTTTCACGGTCAATTCTTCTAAGATTTCTTCTTTGGGTTGAGTTTCATTATAGTACATTCTAATTCCAAATATGATTCTTCAATCTATGTGTATTTTTTTCTGATTCTGATTATATGATGTTTTCTATGAATTTTTTTGGTATTTGTTTTTGTGATCAATTTGTGTATGGAATAGTGATTTAGAACTTGAAAATTTGGGTTAGTGGAAATTTGAGAAAAGTGCATTTGTAGATGTTGCATGCGTTGCTTTACTAATATTCAATGAATGTGTGTCAAGGAAAGCATAGAATAATGTCAACGGCAACTATTTTTCTATTTACGGCGAAGTACTTTTCTATTAGTTTGTCTGATAGTTGCAGTGTGGCATGTAAATCTTAATCTATAATAAATAAATAAAAAGAATTAATTTTTTCAAAAAGAATGACATAATTTTATAGTTGATAATAATTTAACATTAATTTTTTTTAAAAAAAAAATTAATGAGAAGCTTTTATAGCCTCACAAAATATTATGATACGTTTGAGATCACAAGTTTCAAATGTGCCCCTAAAACCAAGTTTTGAGGCTACATTTAAGGCACATCTAAAAGTGGGAACCCCAAAGCTAAAAAGTTAAAGACCTAAATATACATTTAATTAATTTAAATACGCTAATTATTAAAAATCATATGCCCAAACCAACCTTCATACTCCTTAATCAACCGATCCGACTATCCACAAACCATTCATTAACAAGTGTAGCATTCCTAATGTCCGTTCCAACTACAACAAAAACAATAACAACATACCCAGTTTGATCCCAACAGGTGGGGTCTGGGGAGGGTAGTCTGTACGCAGACCTTACCCCTACCTAATGTAGGTAGAGAGACTGTTTCCAATAGACCCTCGGCTCAGGAAGGGCAAGAAGAAGAAGAAGAGGAAAGCAAGGAAGGAAGAAAGATGGAAGAGAAAAGAAAAAGGGAGAGATAAAGGATAAGTAGTACCAAATAATAGTAACAGGGAATACAATACCTGAGGCGAACAAAACCACATAACGTAATAAAAATCTAAGAATATGAAGAGACATCCATGCTACTAAGACTATCGGTGAACAACTATAAACTACCTACTAACCTTCTATCTTAATCCTCGTCCTCCACAACCTCCTATCAAGGGTCATGTCCTCAGTGAGCTGAAGCAGCGCCATGTCCTGCCTAATCACCTCTCCCCAGTACTTCTTAGACCTACCTCGACCTATTCTCAAACTCTCCACNCCGCGCTCTTCCAGAATTCCACCGGGATTTCGTCTGGCCCCGTCGCTCTGCCCCTGCACATCTTGCGCATCCCCCCTTCCACCTCCTCTACCATAATCCGCCTACAGTACCCAAAATCCCGCCGACTCTCGGAGTGCTCCAACTCACCCACCACAATGCGTCTATCCCCCTCCTCATTCAACAGTTTATGGAAGTATGTCTGCCATCTTCTCCT